TATGATCGATGTACTAAATTTGAATAAAAACTGACAAAGCATGTCCAAAATACAACATTTTCAAAAAACAAGATGGCTGCCAGTCGGCCATATTTGATACAATTGTGAAATAAATCGTCATGGACATGTATCCTAACATGTATAATCTATGTACCAAATTTGAATGAAAACTGACAAAGCATGTCTAAAATACAACATTTTCAAACAACAAGATGGCTGCCAGTCAGCCATTGTGAATCGAATCGCTAAACCACTGCATGTGCATATGTCCCAGATAAAGTACTAGGCACATGCAAAGAATGAAAAGAATCGGTCCAAGGGACTCTGAGATATGACTTCGGACGGACGCACAGACGGAGACCGAATTATAAGTCCCCGTTTTCAGACTTCGTCCGAACGGGGACTAAAAATTTAGGTACTTACTCTAGTTCATCAGCTCTATGATTTCTACCTCTCTCACTGTTAACATTACATGGTGATTTAGGAAGATATCTCTGCAGTTGTGATATCATAAATGCAAACAAGTCTTCACTCTGTAAACACACAATTTTATTAATACCTGCATTCAATCTATTGAGTAATGAATGATCACACATAAATGAAAGATGCGTCTATGGTAGCACTAGACCATATTTTATTCATACAATTCAAATATGGGTTTAAGTGCACTTCTATTAGAAATGTGCTTCTCATACAGTATACAGTATTGAAAATATTTTATTTACACTATCAAACAATCTAGCAACATCTACACAAACTGTGTTAGAAGCTTGACAATTGTAAAGTAATATTTTTAAAGCATTTCAAAATTTGCATTTTGCCATTGTTTTGTTTATTCTATCCTTGGCTTTTGTTTCACTGTTGAACAACTTATACATTGTGTCATTTACTGTCCCACCGAGTTGTTCACTGTCCCATTGTGTCACTCAACTGTCCCATAAAGACACTCGCATACAGTCCCATTGAGACATTCACTGTACCAATTGTGTCATGTTTTAGTGTCTCATGTTGAACATGTTCTGCACCAGTTTTGAATTCAACTGCAGTACATACATCAGAAACTGATCATTAAACCTGTTCAATGATCTCCTGTACAGTGCAATAATCAACATTTTCATATTGCATGTTATCGTAATAACAATATTGTGTCTAGTTTTTTCTTCAGCAAATTTGTATAAAGACAGTTAGAATATTTAGTGGTGATGACTGTAGACACAGGACAAACAACACAAGGTAATACTTACTCTCCAGAAAAGCTTTTTAAGTACAAAGTGGTGGCGAGCACCAGCATTGAGCTCCTGCATTTTATTGAAAACCTGTTCCATAGTGATACTGGAGTCCATCACTTCATGTTTCAATTGATTGAACAGAAGTTCCAGCTGTTCCCTGTAAATCCAAAACAGAGACAGGAAAAACAATAGATTGATGAGCATTCACATTTAACATATACAAAAACCTTTTTTTCATACAATCAATAAATACCATATCCTTTGAATTATTAAAATTCATTTTCTTGTATCGACTGGAAAATAAAAACCTGTTGAATTTATTTAAACTTTTGTACGTCATAATATTCCCCACCAAATTAAGGCATGACATATAATTTTGAATCAAATGGACATATTGTCTACACATGCTGAAAATGAGAAAAATTATTATAAGCAGTTTTATTTTGTGAAAAAATGACAAACGTTGACTGGCACTCTAAGGGTTAAGCTCCTTTATGATTACTTGGCACATGACTGTACATGGTATGCCAATCTGTAATATACATGCATTACAGTAGGAAAGTGACATATGGTGATGATCTAAATGAATCGCATGTATGTCTATAATCCTCAGCTTATGTACATACAGATAGCAGTCAATATATAATCAAGTTTTCAACTGCCAAGTAATATATCTTCTGTAAGTTTGGATATAGGGGAATATTAACACATACAGTATACACGTATGAAAACTCATAAAGAAGACTGAAACAAAAGTTAATCCACAGAATGTACACTAGATCATTGAGTTGTTTCAAATGATGATGCAGAAAAAAAATGTGTATTTTCTGCATTTGTTTTCAATTAAAGGCTTTTTAATATTATATTTTATGTTTTGTACTTATTTAATAGATCATCTTGCGAAATGACTGAATATTAATTTGTTTTATTAATTTATGTTTCTTGCTAATTAGCAAGAAACATAAATTAAGAAGATTTTGTTAACCCAACCAACATTATTCAAAATCTTACGCAGTTTAAATCTTACGCAGTTTACAATAATGGTCAAGGCTAACACCAGAAACTGAC